AAGGAGTTCTTAGTTTTTGGGTTGAATGGCTACGATGAAATGGGTAGCCCTGGGTCCAATCCAAAACTACTTCTTATAAAAATGCAGGTGGAGCTACCACTCGGCTACTAGAAACAAAATGGAAAGTGTATTTTTATCCCTTTTTTGTCTATTCACGACTCATTAGTTCAGGCATGCTTGGCCTTGATTATTGTCTTTTCTTCTTGAAGATATGAACCAGAGCTCATCAAAGAAATTGTTGACAAGGTGCGTACCTTAGTACATCCTACATGGTCGGCGCCTGATGAAAAGCTGGTTGGAATTGATTCAACATTGGAGCATCTACATAGGCTTCTAGATACAGAGTCAGATGATGTACGTTTTATAGGGATATGGGGGTTGAGTGGGATAGGTAAGACAACTATTGCTGAGAGAACTTGTGCGAGGATTCTTCATAAATTTGAAGGCAGCTGCTTTCTTGACAGAGTTAGAGATAAGGTTTCTCAAACAGATGGTCTAAAAAATCTAAAAAGAGAACTTTGCAAGAGCCTTATGAACAGAAATATAGAAGACTGGGCCTTTGATATACAAGGCACAATCAAAAGGCTCTTATCTCACAAAAAAGTTCTTCTTGTTCTTGATGATGTGGATGATAATAGTCAATTAGAAGAGTTATGTGGGAACCAAGATGGGTTTGCTCCAGGGAGCAGAGTCATTATTACAGCAAGAAGTGAACGATTGCTAAGTAGACATGGTGTGGACAAAACAATTGAGCTGCAGAAGTTAAATGACCAAGACGCTCTTCAACTTTTTAGCTTGAAAGCCTTTGGAAGAGATTATCCAGATAAAGGCTATGTAGCTCTGTCTAAATGTTTTGTGAGTTATGCCAATGGCCTCCCATTAGCTCTTAAACTCTGGGGATCATCTTTGCATAAAGCAGATCAAGATGAATGGAGAAGTAAATTGGGTAAACTAAGAGATAATTTTGATGGAAAAATTCTGGAGAGGCTTAAAATAAGTTTTGATGAATTAGACGAAGAGGAGAAAAGTATTTTCCTTGATATCGCATGCTTCTTTACGGGAAAGTACAAAGATGAAGTGGTTGAAAGACTACACGGCTTTCGTTCCCGCATAGACAACACTATAAAAGTTCTTATCAGGTGGTCTATGTTAACAGTTTCAGATAATATGGTGTGGATGCATAATTTGTTACAAGAAATGGGTAGAGCAATTGTTCGTGAAGAGTCAAAAGAACCTGGTGAACGTAGCAGGTTGTGGCTTTCAAAGGACATTTTTTATGTTTTGAGAAATAATACGGTAAGAGCTTACATGGATACATCAGTAACACATGAATGTAGCAAAATCAACAGAGTATAAAGCAGACTATTATGTTTACTCATCTTCCATTCCATATAATGTGCACATCACTTACCCTTCATGATGTTTTGCAATTGAGTTGTTCTTTATTCTTGGTTATTAGGGGACATCAGCAGTTGAAGGCATTGTCTTAGACCATCGTGAATCAGAAGTGTGTGAATGCCATCCCGAAGCCTTTTCAAAGATGTTTAATCTTAAATTTCTCAAACTTCATAATGTGTACCTTCATAAAGGCCTCGCATGTCTTCCTAACTCCTTACAATTTCTTGAATGGAAAGGTTATCCTTTAGATTCTCTCCCCTTAGGTTTCAAACCGGATAAGCTTGTTGAACTCAGCATGTGTCATAGTAGGATTGAACAGCTTTGGAGTGGAATAAAGGTACAATTCTACAACTGCAACATATAATCTGTTTATCAGAGCAAAATGTAAGCTTCTCCTTAATCTATTTTTTATCACTTTCTTGTAACTCTAACAGGATTTTGACAAGTTGAAAGTCATCAAACTTAGTCATTCAAAAAGTTTGACTAGCACCCCCGATTTCAAAGAGGTCCAAAATCTTGAGAGACTAGATCTTGAGGGATGTGAAAGTCTAGTTGTGATCCACTCATCCATACGAGTTCTCAAAAAGCTTCTTTTCTTGAATCTTAAAGACTGCAAAAGTCTTGAGAGTTTGCCAGGTGAGATTGCAATGGAATGCCTGGAAATCTTATCCTTTCTGGTTGCTCAAATGTTAAAAGGATTCCTGAATTTGTTGGATATATGGAGAATTTGTGGAAGATTTCTTTAGATGGGACAGCTATTGCAGATATACCATCATCAATTGAAGGTCTGACTAAACTTTCTGTTCTTGATATTAGAGATTGTGTAAATCTGACTCGTCTTCCAAACACCATTGGCAAATTGAAGTACCTTAAAAGTCTTAATGCTTCTGGATGCACACAACTTGCAGAACTGCCTGCAAGCTTTGAGGAACTAGTGTCTTTGGAAAAGCTTGATTTAAGTGGAACTGCCGTAGAAAAATGGCCCTTTTCCGTTGTCCATTTGAAAAATCTAGAATCATTTCTTTTCCGTGGACCAAAAGGGCGATCACCACAGCCATGGCATGTGTTGCTCCCTTTTAGATGGCCATTGATGAGTCGTCAACCTATGACTGAGTTCTTGCCTCCTTTGTCAGGGTTATGTTCTTTAAGGGAGTTAGATCTATGTGATCACAATCTTCGGGATGGAACAATCCTCGCTGATATTGGTTGCTTATCTTCTTTGGTATCATTGAACTTGAGTGGAAATGATTTTGTTAGCCTTCCTGAAAGCATTAGCCAGCTTTCTCAGCTTGAGAACTTATATTTGAGTGGTTGCCGGAGTCTTGAACACCTTCCATTCCTTTCATCAACTAAAAGTTTACAAGTGACTGCCGATGGATGCACTTCACTGGAAAGGCTCCAACATCCATTGAATTTGGATACATTAAATTCTTCATGTTTCAATTTGACGAATTGCTTTGGATTGGTTGAGAAAGAAAGCCACGACCATAAAACATTCACTATGCTCCGAAAATACCTTCAGGTGCGCTCATCAACTCGCATTCATTAATTCCTTCATTCATTCATTTGTTCATTCATTGTCTAACACCACAATTTCTCGTGTATAGAGAATCTCGTATCCACGAGATAGGTTTGAAATTGTAATTCCTGGAAGTAATATTCCTTGGTGGTTCAGTCATCAAAGAGTGGGATCTTCAGTAAGAATACAGGTAACTCCGAATTGGTGTAGTAACAAGTGGATGGGATATGCTCTTTGCGCTGTTTTTCAAGTTTTCAGCAGTGGATGGGAGGTCTCTTGTATTTTGCAAGTCAATGGAAAAAGAAAGTACCCTGCGCCTGCATTATCAACTGATGTCCAGCCCGTTTCGGATCATCTTTGGCTATTCTATGTGACTCGTGACACAAGCTTTGGTACCGAATGGCAAAAGAGTTGTGATCAGTTAACATTTTCATTTGAAAGCTCAGGCCCCAGCTTGGTCAAGAGTTGCGGTGCCCGTTTGATTTACGAACGAGATGTGAAAGAGTTCAACGAAGTATTGACACAATCCAGCAGCAACATCTCTACTTAAAAACACAATGAGGGGAAAGGACACAGTGGAACTCATAGTTTTGATGAAGAATTATAGTTCAAATTCACCTTTGCCGCACCAATTATCTAATTCCCTCCCTAATGTCATAAGAAGCCCAAAGATATTTCAAGCCCAATATAACATATAATGTTAGTCATGCATTAATCCAAGCTGTATTTTGGGAATTAATTTATTAAATAAATATAAAAAATAATGTACATGTCATGCCAAGTTAATAATACATTTTTCTATGCTAAACCACCTGACAAGCTTAAGTGGGCTAAAGCCACATAAATGCTTAGGGCTTGTTGAGCGGGTTGTGGTGTGGATGGTTATAAGGGTTCGTTAAGTCTGTTGAGGGATCAGAGAGGAAATTTTGAGCTGTTTGGGGGCACATTTCCTCATACAACAAATAAAGTCCTACTATCATCGCCTCTTCTGCCAACATTAAAGTCGCAGCCATTGCCAGCCTCACCTTCATGCGTCAAAACCTGTAGTAACCAACAGTCAAACTCAATTAAAGCCCATCCTCCAGCAACTACCTATTTCTCATGTAACAACATTAAAACTCAATTTTCTTGCAACTACTAAGAGCTCAAACACCTATAAATTGGAGAAATTGGTTACCCAGGAGGGGGAGATAGACGAGCATGACAGGAAGAGCAAGCATATCCTCTGACTGCGTAGAGTACCATAACTCAAGTCCACCTTTCCATGCCTTTCCCAAAAACTCGAACCATTCCAGCATCCATGCCTCAAGCAAATCTCTCCTTGTTGCTAAACTTATGGGCTCTTAGCTCCCACTCCACAAGTCACTCAAGTTAAGCCTAAACTTTTGATTCACTTATCTTTATTTGCTTGGTGAGAAAAACCAGAGTATCATTAAGAATCAGCATTCTTTCGGGTATTTTGGGCTTAGTTCTTGAACCCAGGCAAAGGGGCAACTTTACTTTTTCTTTATAGTGGTCCAAGTCTACCTAGAGCTGCTGGAACAAAAAGACCCCACATAAATGGCGACTTCACTGGGGACTAGGCCATTTTCTCTT